GGCCTCAACCTCCTGTCTCGCTAGCACCCTGGGAGTCTTTCTCCAGTCTCAACCCCTTTCCTAAAGCCCTCCAGCAGCCCCCAACTTGTCCCACAGGTTCCAGGGCTGTGTGCGAGTGGTATAAATCAGATACACGGCACTCAAGCCATGGGTTATTTGAGATAACGGCGGTTTGCGCCACAGCGCTCTGTGGCCCTCTGGAGCGTCTTCCCTCCCGGGGCGGGGGGCGAGGGGGCCTGGGTATTGCTTTGCATCGCCACCTAACCCATAGCCAGAAGGCTGTGTATCCCCAGCTCGTAAGGTCTATGCAATTGGGAGGCAGCATCTTGCATAGAAGGCAGTGGGCCAGGGTCACTTGTCAAAGGAAGATGCCCAGTTGCTTCCGTCTGGCTCTGCGGATGGACCGCTTTCCCACCATGCACCAGTGCAAAAGGCATGCTGAATTGGCTGGAAAAACAAACAAACAAAAAAAAACCAACCAAAAACCAAAACCGGGAGGAAAAGTCGTACATGCCATGCTCCCGCCCTGGCTCTCTCCCACATGCGGCTGCAAGTTCCACCAGGTTGGAGTTTAAAGAGTCTCAGCAGAGGCAGCTGTTTGGGCCTTCCAACATTGGGGTTCGTTTAGGTTTCCCAAGGGAGGCAGCTAGGACGGACCCCCACCTCGCACTCCTCTGCTTTGTAAGGACCTGCCTAGGGTTGCTGCAGTGACGCTACCAAAAACGGGCCACCTGATGACGCCTGGAGCTCTCTGCCAGGCTGAGGTATTTGGGCTGTGCTTCCCGCTCTCTGCACATCCAGGAGGCTGCTCAAGACATCTCCCAGGGATCACAGGCTTGGCCACTTCTTCCCCTCGTGCCAGGCTTCCGACCTGCCAACGTTCAGGATGGTTAATGGGCAAGGGCAAGCTTGCAACAGCAAAGGCATCGACCCTTGGGATCCCTTGGGAGGATGCTGCTGGAGAGGAACCCATCTCAAAACGGGGCGACCTGGGAGAGAGAGCATTGCCGAAAAATGAAGTACCTCCCCAGGGGATCCTGGTCGATTCCCTACTCGTGTGCTGAGAGCAGTGTGAAAAGGGGAGATGGTGTCTCCTCGTCTCCGGGGGTACCAGCTGGTTTGGAAGCAGCCCCCTGGCCAAAGAGGCCCCCATCAAGATTAATCCTGACAGTTTGGACATGAACTAGGGATGGTGATGACCTGCAGCGGGATGACCCTGTTTGGGATGCAGGCACAGAACACACTGGGCAAGCCTGACACACCTAAACGAGTTGGAAGAAGGATTGATAACAACATTGGAGACTGTTAAGTGGGATGGATCAAGAGGAAATATCCAGATCCTGGAGTCTGTAAAGCAGCACCTCAGCAGAGCTGGATGTGCATGGACTGGAGGTGTCTGAAGGGGAGATGACGACTTCCAAATTTTCATGATCAAGAAGTATGTGCAAAAAGGAAGCAAGACAGTGATCTTCCGCCCACTCCTCCTGGCAGGGGGCATTTTAGTGTACCCAGCACACGTCAGACGCTGTCTTTCGTACTGAAATTCTCTGCACCATGAAGGAGGAACGGATTCCCATGGAAGGAAAAGTTTGCAGTGACCAAAGAAGGACCACACTGTCTGTTCTCACAGACGCAGAGACTGTCTGTTCTCTCTTACGTTGATGCTCCTCCAAGCAGAGATCTTAAAGTGTTTTGAGCAGCACAGCTGTGCCCAGGAACCACATCCCCATGGAATGAAGCATGGGAAGGCACATGGAATGACATCCATCCGAACAGGATGGCTCCCAAGAGCTGGTCCCAGCACGGGCACATCCTTGATGGGAATGCTGGCCAGCTGTGTCTGGATGGAGATGTGCCCTGTGGCTATGGTATAGGGTGGCTTGTAAAACTGAAGAGCACTAATGGCTCCATCTGGGCGCTCTGGGAGAACCCTGTGAGGGATGGAGAGAGAAATCTGAGGGACATCTCTCCTCCTGTGGTTAGGAAATAAGTCCTGTGCTGTATCAGGCTGTTAGGAACAAAGCAAGTGATGTGAGAGTACATTCAGGAATAGGAGATGTCCACGGGGACATGAGTGTCTGTGGAGCGTCTGCCTGACCCATGACCATCTCAAGGGCTACTTTTAGGGGGCAGAGGCAATGCCTTGGCTCACTTTTGCATGACTGCTAGAAGCAGAGGGGGTGAAGAAAGGTAGATATGGCCCCAGGCAGTGGAGCTGGCTGCCAGAACACAGTCCCAGCAACATTTGGCCACAAGACCTGCTCTCTTCAGTGTAAGGACAGAGCTTGCTGGACTTCCATGGGAAATCTCGCATCCGTGCCCCTCTTTTAGCCCACCTCTGATGGCTCAGTGGGTATGCTTTCACCATCTCTTCCAGAGCAGGCTGTCCACCACTCATAAACATGTCCGTGGTTGATTCTGCAAGTCATCGTTGTTCCCAGCAGGATAGGGGTGCAGGCTCCAGGAAGGTGAACCTGTGCACGGTGACGTGCAGGACAGGCTCACAAAACTGGAAGGTGAGCAAGCTGGGTTGGCATTTTGGGATCCAGACCACGGTGGCAAGATAAAACAACAACGTGTTTTTTCTTTCTTCATCAGTTGCCTTTCGGGAGTTGCTCCAGGCCAGTAGAAATCCCTGAAAATCTGTCACATCCTTGAAATACCCCATGCACAGGGAGGTAACACAAGGAAGGGATGGGGATGGTCTCCCTCACATGACAGCAGAAGCTGGTTTCACACTCCCTGCCTCCACCTCCCCTTGAGTTTATCCACCTTCACTGCTCCATCTGTGCCAGAGTCGGCAGAAAGCCCAGACTGCTGCAGCGCTCCCTCTTCCCAGGAAGCATTACAGGTACCTGAGCACCAGCTGATCCAGCTTGGGGGAGCAGCGAAGCCCTGATGGCAAATGAGGAAGATTAGGAATTCTTCCCGAGGGTGTCTTCTGCCTGCAGGGACCTGAGCAAGTGCCCTCAGCCAAGCTGTGTTCCTTTGCCAGGGATGCAACTGAGTGGAGGGACTGCAAGGAGCCTCTCCTGAATGGATGAGCCATCCGTGATTCTTGCAAGAAATCTCCTATCCTGAAACACTTCTTGATAAATGAGATGACCAAGAGTCCAGGTCTTCTCTCGCCCGCTCTGCTTTTCTTCTGTTGGTCTCCTTCAAGATTTCACACGTGTGTGTCATCCCCACGGCCCGCTGTGGAGGGTGACAGACCTGCTCCAGGGATGCTGGCTGGAAGAAGCATTTCGGATGTAGCAGAGAGGATGTGGTAGCCACAACGCATCACGCTGAGGAACCCTCTTCCCCTGCAGAGCCAAGATCACAGGCTGGGGACATCTGTGCTTCCCTCGTACATCTCCTCAGATGCTGCAAGGGGTGCAGAGGGAAGAGAGAGCTCTGCGGTTCATCCTTTTGTGCCATGAACACAAGCCTGGGTGTCGTGGCATTTTGGAGAAGATGGCAAGAGCAGGATTTTGCTCAGCTGCCACCCCAGAATAAATTATTTTTTTTTTAAATCGTGCAGGTCAGAGAGACAACAAGGAGGCCAAACTGCTGCCATGCGCTCCCATCCAGCAACTGGGAGCTCGGCTCAAGCAGAAGGAGAGGAGTTGTTGGGCTCCAGAGATGTGCCCAGGGGCCACCTCCTCCCCAGAGAGGTGGTCATGTGTCCTCCGAGCGCCACGCTTGCACAAGGGTCTGTTGGGTACAGCACGGTGTCCCCCAGAGTTAGGGGTCCCTCCTCCCTCCCAGTCCTCACTCTTCAAAACAACGGCAAAGTCCCCAACATCCTTCTGCCTTTGCTCCCCCATTCCCTCCCCAGGAGTAAACCACATCTGAACCCCCAAAAAACTCCTGCTCCCACGGGAGGGCACTTTGAGACGCCAAGCAGGGACAGTGGCATTTGGCCCGGCATCCTTCGGGGGCTCTCTGTGCCGACGAAGTCGCTGGCTGGGGGACGCAATTGGTTGAAACCCACCCCAGGAGGCTCTGAGCCCCCCTCCCCAGCCCCAACTCATGCCTCCCCTCGAGGAGGACAGCTGCTGGCTCTGGGAGGCCGCGGACCTCTTTAAACTCGAAGGAAAGCAAGGTCAGGGGTCCCTCGGGAGGTGCGGTGGTGGTGGAGCAGGGGGAGGGAGGGGTGGATGGTGTGTCCCGTGGCCAGGTTGTGGCGGAGGACTGGGAGGCAAACCTTGCACGCCACCCTGTAGGGGCAGTTCTCTCCTAGGCCCAGAGGAGGCGAGATCACCCGTACTAATTTGTACATATCCTTATACGAGATCCTGCCGCTGCAAAGGAAGCACAGGTGGGTTAATAGGACACTGAGAGGGTGGAGGGGAGGAGAGCTTAACGGGGGGGATGCTGGGACCATCTGTGGGGTAAGACCCCCAGAAGTGCACGGCTCTTCTCCTTCTGGCTCTGTAAGACCCAGAGAGAAGAAAGCTGTGAGCATCACCTACTGCCTTCTCCACCACGAGTCAGCTTTTACCTCCTTCCACTGACCCGTCTTGACCCTGGAGAAGGACAGTTTTGGCAGTGAACACCACCCCATCATCCTTCCTCATCGTGCCCCTGGCCTCCTACGCCTGGTGGGATTTTAGACGGGGTGAGACTGCAGCTTGGTTGGGTTCTAGCCACCACGAGCCCTTTTGATGGAGCTGTGTCCCATCACACAACCGGAGAGCCTTGCCCTTGCCCGGCCAGCCCTGGTCCTCACGAGGTCCCAAGGAGGTTGGAAGCCGAGTCACTTGTATCTCCAATATCTGGGGAACCTGAGACGAGATAATGTGACCAGCTGGTAACCAGTGGCACTAGCACCTAGGTCTCTCGTGGTCCGGCCCTGTGCTCTGACCACCAGACCTCAGTCTTCCAAGGGTACACATTATTGGAAGCAAACCCTCCCAAACACACACCCCTTGTCGCCCACGGAAGCGCATCTCTCCAGACCCGGGTGCAGCCATCACAGGATATGGCCCGTATCCCTCCTGCACCAGCTGAAATAATGAAGCCGTCGGGGCAGACAGCTTAGGGGAGAGAGGGCAGGGACCATCGGAAGCTGAGCTCCCTACTCCAGAGCAGAGCCCTTCAGGAAGCAGGACCGTGTGGGGTGGAAGTGCTGAGGTGCAGAGTGCTGCAGCCTCCTGGGCATCCTTAGACAAGCTTGGAGGGAAACCACACAAGAAAGCAAAGGTCGGTGTGACAGTCCTACCCAGCGCCTTTGCCTCTGGTTTCTCCTTGCTCTTCTCCCATCCCCTCTCCATCGCCAGCCAGAGCTAAGCCAACCATCTGGGCAAAACCCATCCCTGAGGCCCCCCCAGGTGCTGTCTCCCTGTGAGACCTTCATGTGATGGTGTCAGGATGCAGAACTGCTGCCCCGCTCAGGTGGTGGGACCCTTTCAGATGTACTCACCCGTTCCTCACCCAGCAATGAGGGCCAGGACCGTCCCCACGAGCCCAGCACCACCAGCTCCCGTGCACACCCCCTAACCACTGTCTACGTACCATGACGAAAAAGGATGGCTTGCTCAGAAATCAGAAGGGTGCATGGCATCGACAGGACAGCTCAGGCACTTTTTCAGTGACTGTCCTGGAGACCCAGACCACCGACATGGGGGACGAGAGCGAATAAAGTGCCTGGTGTGAAGAAACCCTTCCCAAAAGCCACGGGTGAGAAGCCCCAGACCGAGCAGCGGGATGTTTCACTGCTCTCACCTCCTCTCCTTTCTCTAGTTGTCCATCAAGACATCTACTCACCCACAGTGACCTCTCCCCCTCGCATGAGGCACAGTAGCCCACTAACAAGCCAGCCCACCTGCCCACGAGGACCTCGCACAGCAGCAAGAGTGATGGAGGAGGGCACGTGGGGAGGAACCCGGCCAGCGCTGAGCTGCACGGGGTCGGACAGAAACGGTGGAGGAAACTATGTTAGGAGGTGATGCTATTAGGCAAAAAAAATATATCTTGGCTGGACACGTCTCTTGGGGGGCAGGGACACTAGGAGTGGAGGTGAACAGTCTCCAAAGGGAGCGTGTGGGGCTGCCAAGGGCTCTCAAGCTAAGACTGCCCATACTCCCTGGCATGGTGGCGGTGGGCCATGGCTCCAAAGAGGCTGTCACTGGGCTGGGGGCAGGAAGGAAGGGGCCACACAAGACACCCTTGTAGTTTCATGCTCCGGGAGCTGTTCCACACTGCCCTAAGGATGCTCCTCTGCTGCAGAAGCAGGAGCAGAGCCAAAGCCCGGACATCCAGAGTATGTAGGGCCACTGTGAACCCATCCCACTGCTGGGAGCAGGCTGCTGCAGGAAAATGGGAGCCCTGATTGCTGGGATCCTCATCAGCAAAGGCATGAGTGCGGGAAACAAGGTCCTCCCATCCCCGGAGATGTGAGCAGGCTGGTCAGTGTAGGAACACAGTTCCCCAAACACACTCCCATAGGTGACTTGGCAGGAGCCCAGCAGACTCCCAGCATCTCCCCATTGCTGGGAACAAGCCACGCTCAGCCCTGCCCTGACAGGGAGCTGTGGGTGCTGGGGACCAGGCGATGGAGCCGGTCTCAGGGCAGAGGCACCCAGTTGGTGCAGGGGCACAGGGAAGGAGGCTGAGAGGAACCTTCCCGCTGGCCAGGGAGGAGAGAAAGATCAGGAACCTCCAGCACACAGGATAAACACCATGGCAAACCATGAACATCACCTAAGACGCCTGTGCCACCCAGCATTATAGGAAGCTGCTGCCCCTGTAACGACCGCAAGCATGAGCAGCCCTTCCCTGACCGTCCCAGGCATCGCAGCCCGTTTCCAACAGCAGAACACAGAGACGCTTGTTTAAAACCAGCTCTGAGAGGTTGCTCCGGGGAGAAGGAGCTGGCTACATACCACGCTGCTCTGTCATACTCTGCCCAGATCCGGACAAACTCATCTAGGTGGTGAGGCCCCAGGATGGAGGAATCCCGAGTCAGGTACTCAAAATTGTCCATGATGACTGCCACGAACAGGTTGAGCATCTAAGGGAAAGGGAAAAAGGCAAAGAGGAAGGGAAGTAGGGAGAGGAGGAGTAGAGGTGCACCTCTGGCAAGGGCGCAGGTTGAGGGGGTTGATGAGGAGGACCCCCTGGGGCGCTCAGGGGAGAGGAACTCACCAGGAAAGAGCAGAAGAAGATAAAGGAGACGAAGTAAACGTAGGCCAGGTCAGTGCCACAGCGCTCGTTCTCATTCTGCCCGGACGTCGCTGTTGTGTCCGGCTCGCATCCTTTGCCCTCCAAGCAGGACAGCATGATCTCCTGCCATGCCTCTCCCGTTGCACTCCTGTGCCCAACACAGCCGTACTCAGCAGCTCGTGGAGGCACAGGATGGAGCTGGGGCAGGATTCCTCCAGGAGAAACCTCATAAGAAGCTGTGCAACCCTCTACCCGAATAAAGCACATCCCCAGAGGAGCGCAGTGCTGGGTCAGCAGCAACTGAGCTGGACCGACACCAGTGCAGCCAAGCCAGGGTGTAGCTCCTGACACACAGGGCCAACTCCTCCCAGCCAGCTGGTACAGATTGCTGGGAGACAGACATCCTTTTGGGGGCAGGGTGAGGGAAAAAAGGGGTTCCTGAGCTCCTGTGGCCATGTGTTGCCCAGCTGCTCTCTGGCACCAAGAGCGGACCTCCACCAACCAGCCTGTGGTGAGAACCTGCCCCGTCTGGTTCCTGGCATCCAAAAATGCTGCCAAAGCAGTTTTCCCTGGGTGCTTACCTGAAGAGGAGCATAAGGGAGCCCAGGAAGCTGCGGAAGTTGTTGTGCCGGTTAATGTGGCTTTCCTCATCTAGTTTGATGTTGCCAAAAACCTGCAGGAGGGAGTAAAAGGGCTGTTATAGAAGCAAGAGCTCGGTGCTTGGGAAGCGGCTGCACGTTCACCTTTTTACTGCAGGGATGGATCCAGACCCTGGTCCATCACCCTCAGTGCACCCAGACCCCACAGCAGTCAACATCCACCCTCTGAGTGCAATCCCCCATGGAAAAGCATCCCAGCAAATCCATGCTGGTGCACAGCCAACACACTGAGGAGCTGGCACTGAGCAGCCCTTGGGGAAAGGAGACTCTCCTCTCCTTGGCAGGGATCTGTGGTGGGTGGCAAAGGCTGCGAGAGGCCGAGCTGCCATGGAAACAGGAGCATGGAGGACCTGGGATCAACCGAGTCCAACCGTTCCACATCCATCCCTCTGCTGCGAGCTGCATCTGAGCACAGCATGGCAGCTGGAGGTCCCGAGCATGTTGTAGGCGGGTGCTGGATCCCAGCCCTGGAAACTCCTGGGAGGTTTTGCCTTGGTGGGGAAACGGTCCATGATGCCAGGGTCAGGCACAGAGATGCGAACAGGGTGGGGAAGGGCTCGGTGAGGGAGGGATGGACCGACCACTAACCCACCACGGAGAGACAGACACCTGGGACTACCATCCCCAGGGCCAAAAGAGGCAACAAAGGCCCAAACATGGACAATATCCTGATAATGACCCACAGCCAAGGCCGTGGTAGGATGTAACGAATGTTCGTAAAGTGCCCCAAATAGGAAAAATGTGCTGTTATTACTGTTAAATATTTATTCTACTTTCCACCTAAAAATACACTAACTGCAGAGTATTTTTTTCCCTGTACAGGTTTTTTGGAATGTGTAATTGTAGAATATTTTCTGCCTCCAGCTATTTTGCTCAAATAACGCCCACAGACTTTACTGCTTGGGGATTTGTTCACAATGGTGTTAAAAAAAATAATAAAATCAAATAAATCAAATACTACCACACGGCAGGGAGGGGGAGGGGAGGACGGCTGAGTCAGATGGCGGTTGTTTAGCACGGAGAACACCTGGAGCCGGTGCCGAGATGTGTAGGACAGAGCGGCCAAAAGCAGCCACGCGACTCTCTCGGGGAGGGAGAGCGGGGGTGGAAGAGACTAAACACCAGCGCTGCCAAGCAACCCGGAGCAGGGGGACCCTCCGCGCTGCCTGCTGCCTCCCCAAAATCTGCCCGTTCCGGTGGTGCACGGCATTGGGCTCGCTCCTCGGGCAGCTCAGATCCCCAGCGTTCGTTGTGGAAGATGCTTTGTCAGATCCTCGGCGTGGGGTTTAGTCACCGCAGAACCGAGCCAGCCCCGCAGCAGCACGTGTGGAGCTGAAGGGTTTAGCTCACGTGCTTCTTATTTACCAGCTGGAGCCTGGAAAGATCCCATCTTCCCATGCTCTGCAGACCACCCACCATCTGGTAGGGCCCTAAGCACGAGAGCGAGGCAGAACATCCCCTCCACAGAGGGACAAGGTGGAGAGTGGGATGCAGGGACCACCGCCGTGACCCAGCCGTTCAGATGGGAAAGGCAGAAGGCTGCTCACCAGGCCCCTCGGGCATGAAATCCACCTCTGTTAGGGAGATGGGGCGTCATTTCTGAAACTGAAGTGCCTATGAAATGAAGGGGTGGCAAGTCTGAAAGCAGTTGCCACACAGGATGCCCAGCTGAGTCCCCAGGGCCACATCTCCACAGGTATAAGTAGGGAAGGCAGCAGGGACTTGACTGAACAAGCTTGTGGCAGCTCCCAAACAAGCTGTTCCACCCTTGGGACCTTCCTGGCGACTGTGATCGAGTGAAGTAACGACAAGCAGGCACAAGGTTGGCTGCTGTGCACGATGCTGAGGACGTGGTGGTCCAGCCTGCCCGTGCCAGAGGGATGCGCACCGAGACGCCCGTGCTCACCTGCATCCCAATGATTGCGTAGATGAAGAAAAGCATGGCGATCAAGAGGCAGACGTAGGGGAGAGCCTGCAAGAGAAGAATCATCTCATTTAGCACAGGCCCAGCTACAAAAAGCACAGCGAGCAGGGAAGCCAACAAGACCCTGGGAACAACCTGCATTTGGGAGCAACACCCCAACACCATGGCCCATGGGGGGAGAGCAGGGCATGCGTGACTTACCTTGAAGGACTGCACGAACGTCCAGAGCAGGATGCGGATGGTGTAACCCTGGCGCAGCAGCTTGATGAGCCGAGCAGCCCGGAAAAGCTTCAGGAAGCTCATGTTGAAGCTGCTGGTGTTCACCAGCTGGGAGGAGACGAGAGGGTCAGAGGAGGGCGGGAGCCCCCCACCCCGCAGTGGTTCGCCCCGATGCTCCCAGCCCCTGCTTCACCTTGGTGTCCGTCAGGATGATCTCCGTAATGCTGCCGATGACGGTGATGAAGTCAAAGATGTTCCAGGTGTCCCGGAAATAGTTCTGCAAAAGGAAGGAGAGCGGGAACATGGATTTGAGCTCGGGGATGGGGATGTGAAGGGTGCTGGGACACAGGGCAACGCTGCTGGGCGGTGGCAAAGACCTTGATGCCCATTTGTATGCAGATGTGGTCTGGAGCATCATCTGGTGTCTGAGACGGTGGCAGACCTGAGAGTGTCTGCAGCAAGCAGCTTCTCCTGGGAGATGACTCATGCATCCAGCTTGGAGAACGGAGTGGAAAAGTGGCCACAGCCAGCCCTGGTCAGGCTGCAGCAGCTCATCACGCCGACCTCAGACCTACGAGGCTGCTTTGCCCTCCTCTTCTTGGGCGCTTGGACCCATCTCAGCCCTTCCTCTTCGCGCAGCAGCTGGCGCAAGACCGGACTCGACCATGGCTGGAGCCACGGGGAGCAGGGAGGGTGGCTAGAAACCCTCCTGCTGGCGGACCTCATCTCCCAATATGGGTTAGAAACAGGAAAGAAACCATAAACCCTACATTTTGCTGCTTATGAGCAACTGTTGCTGAAGAAAAGGCACTGCGTGGCTTCAAATCTTAAATGAGCAGCTGGGGACTTGAGGACTGTGAATTGGGCAGGGAGGTCTCACTGCTGGCCAGGTCTGGACCAACTGATCCAGCCCAAGGATAGCAACGCACCAGCGTCTTGCAGCTCCTGGGGACAAGGGACTGCAGCCACCAGCATGATGGCAGCAGCAGTTGGCTTTAGCACAGCACATACATGGTCCACGCCCCAAAGGACCATGGAAATGAGGCAAAAAGCAAAGGAACGGCATGGCCGCCCCCACCAGCATCCAGCAGTGGGAAGTTTAATGAGAACCAAAGGAGCGATGCTAACCTAAAAGCAGGTCTCAGACTGGGACCCGAAATAAACAGCAACAAGCTTACATTATTAACACTTTCCCTCTGTGATGTGCGTGCTGCCAAAGTCCAAATTAACACCCTTACCAAGAACGGGAGCAGCCACTCACCAGGAAACCAAAAGCAATGATCTTGAGGACACACTCCAAGGAGAACACCATGGTGAATGCGATGTTCAGGTACTTCAGGGCCAGCTCATAGGTGTACGGAGCAGAGTAGTACTGATGGGAAGAGAGAGACATTGCTAGCTGGGGGGGGCCTGTCAGCCTCTTGGCTGATGGCTGTCCCAGAGAAGATCTGCGGTGGCCCACACTCCTTGCCCTGGGTGCCCAAAGACCATCTCCTCCTTTCCCTCTCCACCCCTCTCCCGGGACAGCTGCCACTGCTTCTAAGAAGGAAGCACAGAGTTAATCCAGATCTTTCTACAGTAGTTAAGAGATCCAGATCATTTGGGTCATCTGGTTTAGGGAAGATCCTGCGTCTAGTTTGGGGCATGTGGTGTATCAGGTGACTATGCCAATGGAATACATGCTCAAGGGTCCATCTCAAAGCACCTCCTAGAAACAACCAAAATACCCTCTGGTCCCATCCTGACCCATCCTCCTTCCTCCCACCGCCCCAAACAGGACAGGCTCACCTTCATCATCAGCACCACAGTGTTCAACGCTATCATGGCCATGATGGTGTACTCGAAGGATGGGGAGACCACAAAGTGCCAGACCCGGTACTGAAAGGTGTGCCGGTTCTGGGGCATGTACCGCGTGAGGGGCTTGGCACTGATGGCAAAGTCAATACAGGCTCTCTGGAATAAAACAACGTGCATCAGACCCTGGCCAACGGCAAGAGTGGCTGCCACACTTCTATGGGCTGGGCAAGCAGGTGGCTCACAGGTTTCTTCCACCCTTTCAATATTTAGGGAGATCCAAGCTCCCAAACTGCAGAAAATCCCATGGGAATGTCCTCTTTCCCCCTCTCCCCAGACCATACCTCGTTCTTCTCCAGACTGCATTCCTCCATCATTTTGTCTCCTTGCTCTTGGAACGTAATGATGATGAGGGCCACGAAAATGTTGACAAAGAAGAAAGGGAAGACCACAAAATAGACAACATAAAAAATGGACATCTCCATGCGGTTGCTGCGGCTGGGCCCGCGGTCCTCCTCCGTCACATCCACCGAATGCTGCAGCACCCTGTGGGCAGAGAGGCGGAGAAAAGCAACCAGAGATATGCCCATCAGGAGTGCCACCACGGGACCCGGTCTGCACAGCCAGCTCCGTCTGTCCACACTTGTAACGACGACGGGATAAACCTCTGTCTTAATCCGATTTACAAGGACGACCCTTCTAAGCGGCGACAGCCTGTTTTACGGTGCTTTGCCTGTGCTCCTGATGGAAAATGGATTTTCCAGTGCTCCACATACAGAAAAAAACCTGCCCAAGCTCACATGAGCATGAAGAAAGGGCTTGTCCTATGGTCATCTCTAAAACTGAGCTAAAAGACACCTCAGGGCCATTGGAGAAGGGATTATCCATCATTCACTCTCTAAGGAAAAAGCTAACTTCAGCCACAGCCCCAGTCCCATAAAGCTCTTTTGTCCTGGCATAATTTCTCACCCTTCCTCTCCTCCTCCCTTCCCATCAGTTTCCCCCCCAGTCCCACTTATGTGTAGCCAGTTATTATGCCCAGCCCCATTCAGAGTGTGGGGGAATAAAGCAGAATACTCACTGGGGCCAACCCTCGCCGGTGGAGACTGTGAAAAGGGTGAGCAAAGCCCAGATGATATTGTCGTAGTGAAATTCATGGCGTTTCCACTCCCGGCACTTCACCTCCATCTTGTTCTTCTCGTGGTCCACATAGTTCCCTCTGCAAGGTTGGGAGAGAGCGGTGACCTTGCTTTTTTATGCTGACAGACTAGGAGACAGTGCGTTTACACCCTGGGGGCAGCTTGTGTGTGCGATGGGGATGGGGCTCAACCCATGTCATCCACCCCAAGAGACTATGGCCAAGAGCGAGTCATGACCATGGACTTCACTGGGAACCCAAAAACGACATTACCCGGCACCCTGCCTTTGCCAGAGGCATCAGGGCACCTACATGCAGTCCTTCTCCGTGTCCTTAGAGCTGTCAGTGCAGTAGAAAAACTTCCCCTTGAAGAGCTGGACGGCGATGACAGCGAAGATGAACATGAAGAGCTTGTAGACGATGAGGATGTTGAAGACGTTCTTGAGGGATGTCACAACGCAGTCGAAGACAGCCTGTGGGAGAGGGCACAGCTCACTCTGGGGAACCTACAGCCTTGTCAAGGGCAGGACCAAAACTTTCCTCAAGACTACTGTGGGAAAAGACATTTCCCCTTCCTGGGGAGAAAGCAGGAAAGAGCGTGGCCTTCTCCTGGGCAAAGGGCTACTTTATGAGCGAGTTTAACACCTGGAGTACCCCCAGCACACACCTAGCAGCAGGGATGGGTAATTATATCCTCCAGCGTTCTCTGCAACCAGGGCAGCACCCAGGGGGTCGCCCCAACGATGCAAGTAGTAACACTCGAGAGCAATTAGTAAACACTTCTTCGTTTCCCATCACCCCGAATAACAAGGCAGGGTGAATGCCTGCAATAGCAGCACCTCCCCGGGCCGTGCTCTCAGCCCTAATTCTCACAGAACTTCAGGAAAGAGAGGAATGCCCTTATCCCTGCTTCACACTAAATTCAGACGTGTCCAGAAACGAACTGTCACAGGCTGAATCCATCCACTGCTCAGGAAGACAAGCTAGGATCAAAACCTAGGTCTCTGGGGTGCCACTCTGGGCCTCATCCATCAGCCAAATATCCCCTTGTGAGAAAAACTCAGGGATTCCTCGGTCTCTTACTCCTTTTCTGGCTCTCTACCCCATTGGCCAAGGCAGGAAAATCCATAATCCTACCACACTGCATAAATAACCCTGCTGTTCAGATGGGAACCCCCCTTTGGCATAACACCATGACAGCACCACCAAATCCCGAGAGGTTTGCGAGCTGCTCTGGTGGAAAAGATCACAGAGTTTGGAAAGAGATCTGAGCTCTCCCAAAGCCAGGGCGGTCTGTTTTATCAGGAGAGCATCTGGGTTTTGCTGCCTCATGTCCACTCCAGTCCCAATTTCCCCAGCACCTGACTCTGACACCTTGCACAGATCCAGACGTGCTTTTAACAGCTCCTGAAGGATGTTGTGTTTGAAATCAGAGCTCCTAAAACACAGCAAATGCTTTGAAAACCACTCGTTCACTGCTCATGGCAAATCAACGCAGGTGGTCCCGGCACCAACCGGTCCCAGCTGGAGAAGACAAATGTAAGACAGGAGATGGGGATCGTTACCTTCAGCTTGGGCAGTCGCTTGATGGTTTTCAGGGGCCTCAAGACGCGGAGCACACGGAGAGACTTGATGGTCTTGATATCCCGGCCCTTGTTGGTCCTACGGCGTCAGAGGGAGGCACACGCATCCAAAAAGGAAACGAAGAGAAAATAGCCTTGGGGACCTGGGGCTGGATGCTCTGGGGGTTTCAGCTGCTGACAAACCACATACCACCACCCCCAGCACGTGTGAGGACGGGAGCGGGAGGGCCACCAACGTGTGACTGCTGAGTGCTCAGCCCACCTAAACGCACGCGCTGATAGATGGCAGCGATGAAAAATAAAGCAACCCTCTCCCTCCTCAGGATTAGCACCTTTCCCCTTGGCTGGGGAGCAGCGACCTTAAATCCCCTTGTGATGCCAGGGCAGGCAAGGCAACGCTCTACCCAAGCGAGGGTGCTCGAAGGGTGCTGCGGCACGCTGCCCTCCCGTGTCCCCAAGCCGTGCCGCTCGACAGGGCCAGGAGGTTTGCTTCCCTACCGCAGGCACGGCTTGCAAAAGCCCCCCCCCTTGCTAATTGCTTTCTACCGTTACAACCGGCTGCAAGGAATTCCTAATAAAATGAGGGAGATGCGCTCAGTGGGGTCTATAAGCGGATGTCTCACAAAGGGTTTCCCATCCGTGTTTAAACTCAAGATCCATGGTCCTTACATTCACCTAGGGAAGCACTTGCTCTGTGCTTGGCTTGTTCACACAAATGCTGGCTCTTCCAGCTTTCTGCCTTATTCCATCAGCGCTACCCGTCTTGGTCAGCCTGATCTTTCATCGCACAACATCTCAGCCCTCGCCAGATCAGGGCTGCGCTTGCCCCTTCCCCAAATCAGCTGAGGAAGGCAGAGCTTACGATCAGGATTACTTAGAAAAGCAGCACTAAGACCCCTCTTGACTCTAATTTATGGAATAGGATAATTAATCCCAACCACAATACAGGGGTTTTTCCTTCTCTTTTAACCAAAGCCCATGGGATGGAGCTGAAAGGTTCTGGTGAGGGTGGCACAGTTTGTATCCACTGGACACCTTCAAAAAACATCAGGAAAATTACTTACAACAGACACTCCAAATTACACAGCTCCTTTACAAGGGTTAATGCAACAGGGAGCACAATAATGAGCTTAATCGTTAATAGATGTAAACAAGGCCACTAATTAATAGTCCTCCCTAGGAGCACAGCCCCATAAATGCAGCGGTACAAGCAGGCCCAGGACTCAGTCAGAACCTCCCATCTCCCGCTTTGCCCAGTGTCAGGGCCTGGGTAAGCAGCTGGGGCATCTGAGCAGGGGCTGGGGTGGGGATTTGAGGGCACTGCTCAGCTGGTGCAAGCTGCTCCCAAGGGCAACTCAAGTGCAGCGGTTCACATCTGCTGAGGAGGAACCTCTGCAGACCTCAGGAAACCTGTGGATTTGGCCTGGGATCCAACATGGATATGGGATATAGGGCTGGTTAATGCCTGGAGGAAAGCCTGGCCTTGTGTCTATGGCCGAGGCTGAGCTGCCCCAGCCACCTGAGCTTGGTGTGAACCTCATCCCCTGGGTGTGCTTCACACCACCTCGGGGTATTCCGCACACACAAAGATCCACGATGAAAGCACTCTCCTCCAAAGGCTAGGAATTGCATTGCTTGCAAAGAAAATCCCTCCTGTCCTTCCCTGGAGCACACCACCTTTCTGCATCCCAGGGCGCACGTAGAGCAGCACACTCCGCTCTCTCCGAAGGCAGCTAAGGGTCAGCTGGGGTGACAGACAGACACCTGCAGACACCCAGACAGCCCATCCCCACCGTGGCACCCCACAGCGACCCGAACGGCATAGTTACCCCAAAGCATTCCTGTTGGCGATCCAGCCCGGCAGCCAGCAAACAGCACCCAGAGAAAAAGAGAGAAGAGAGGGAGAAGGTGAGAAACACATCGGGGATGCTGCACGGGGATGACTGCAGCCTCTTGGGCAACCAGGACCTTGCAGCAGCCCTCCAACACCCCACGCCCGGGTTGAAAGGCACGATGAGTAGACCATGTTGTGTCCTCCAGGATGGGGCTTATCTCCAGGGAGAGGCTGCCTGCTGGAGGTTTTGGGAGAGGGGTGCGTAGTGAAACCTCTGCTGCAAGAGGAGCCCGCAGAGAGCAGGACGGCGGGTGAGAGCGGGTGGGCATGTGGTAGCCCTCATCCAGGAGTCGGGGAAGGACCTCAAGGCTTGGCTCCAACCAGCCAAAGGCAGGTGCCTCCATGGGAACCTACCTGCAAGGCCACATCCAAACAGGCTATCTTTGGAAAATCACCTCCATCGAGAAATCCACTGATTGACCAGAAAGAGCCAATGCCACCCAAGCTGCCACACAGCAGGACACCTACTCGGACAAGCCAAGTTGGTCTACAAGGTCTACCAAACCTCCACCCCTACTTGAGCTGAGTCCCTGCCACGTGCCTGCTCAGCACTGGGGCCAAAGCCTACAGGGTAAAACATTTCTTAAAAACCATAAAAACAAGCCCAGGCCCTGGCTGCATGGTGTCGAAGCCAGTGGAAGGCAAGCGGCAAAGGGGGTGGTTTAACTCTGAAGTGCTTGTGTGATGGGATCTCAGACCCCTGCCCCCAGCAGCCTCACGCAAGGTTATTTTGCAACACCTAAGGGTCCCTCCTTGCTCCCAGACAGCGGTGACGACGAGCACCAGAAGATGCCGCTCGGCATAAAACGAGGCACCTCTGCTGCGTACCTCCGGGTAGAGAAACTCCTGTCCTCTCTCACCAGGCGAGACATGAGGGCTACGCACTACTACCACGACCGGCCACCTCAACCAGCCTTTCCATCGCTCCTTCCCCGCTGCTGCAAGGTTGCAGGCATAGGCAGCACCACCTAAACGCGCCGTAACGCCGTGAGCGAGCACCATGCCTCCTCCTCCTTGGAGGGTGCCGCGGGAGACAAAAGCGAGCAGCATCTTTAGTTATGGTTCTGGTTATTTCAGCTAATTTAATTTGAAACCTTTGGAGATTTATGGTTTTATATTGGGCTTTTTATTTAGGCTGCATTAGGATCGACGTATTAGCTTTCCACGCAGACTGCTGCAGATGAGCCAAGATGACCTCTTGCTCAGGATGTACGGGCTCCGAAGGGGCGGTGGACAAGTCCCTGGCACACAGGAAGCTGTTTTTATGGGTCAACACTTGCTTATTGGTGATTTCGATGTGGCACTGATGTGTTACCATCATCCACTGGACTACTGGCGCAGCTCAGAGACCTCCTGCTGCATCCACGGCTCCCCAGGAACACCACGGGAAAACCGAAACACGGAGGGGAGGCAAAAAGGGGAGAAAACCCAAATGGCACAGCACATCCCAGCACTTCTTCCAAATGGGAAGCGACGGACCTGGTCACCAGCTGCTCTCAACCACATAATCGCAGCAGATGCTTTGTGGGCATCACTTTGCCCACCCAGTGCCGTGGAGGTGGGGAGGGGGAGAGGGAGGACATGTGCCCCCTGCCACGGCCCCACATCAAAGAGCTCACGGAGGGAGAAGAAAAGAGTGATTTAAACGTCACGGCCAGAGTTTTCCTCTTGGGAGTAGGCTGGAGGAAAGGAGGGAGAGCGGCGGGTTGGGACACGTACAGCTGCCAAACATCCTGGGGCTGAGCGGGAGCTGGGGGTGGCTGTGTGCAACCCCCAGCACCGTGCTGCTCCCAGGGCTGTGGCATCAACAGGCTGCCAAGGGGAGAGGCAGGTGTTCTTATAAATGCTTTATAACGTATAAAGCCATCTGAAATCGCTGCGGTTCCTTTATCCCCCCTCAGTGCCACAGCCGATGGGGGTGCTCGCCCTTGAGAATTCAGCTGCCCAAAGGGACCTGTCCTTCCCTTGGGAGGCTGGGTGGAGGCAGGAAGGTGGCAAGCCGGGTTGGAAGGGGCACGGCAGCTTCCCCACGTGCTCGGTGATGCCATGTGAGGGTCCCACCAGCTCCAGGGGCCAACCCCAGGAACTGTGACACCTCTGTGAGGTGAGGGCAAGCGTAAGCAGTGTTAGCAGCAGTGAGGACACTCGTCCACCCAGGAGCAGGCTGAGCCATCAACCTAATCTGCTTCAGCCATCAAAAAGATGCCTTGGAAGGAAAAGGCTTTCTCATGCTCCTAAAGCCCCTCAAGCTACCCAGCGCATCCTCAGGCTGCTGATGCCCTTGAGCACCACCTCTAGACATGCTCTGAGGGGCTGCCCTGGCAGGGGGAGAGGATCAGCCAGACCCCAAAGATGCTCGATCCACCCTTGTGGTGACCTCGGTGGCTTCCTGGGAGAGATGTCCCCAGTCAGGGGACCTACCCTGTGCCCCGTCCCCATACTGGGGACTGCAGTGAGCCCCCTTGCCCTGCCCAGGGGCTGGTTCATCCCACTGCTGGGCGAGCTGAATTCTTCCATGCTTCTCCCAAGGAGAGAGCAGCGGCTGAAAGCACTGGGTGAGGACAAGGGGGAGGAGGGCGAGGAAGGCAAAAGCAACGAGCTGGGGAGGGTGTGAGTACGTGAGAGCTGGTGGAAGGAGCTGCTGCCCGTCTTGGGGTGAGATGGGAGGGATGGATTACAGGCTGTAATCCATCGAGAGACCTTGGGGCTCGGACCCAGCCGCCCCAAGAGCCTGGCACAGTACCTGAGCTGTGGACAAGGACAGGGGTCCAGTCTGCGCGGCTGCCAGGCCCTCCCCTCTCACCAGCACTAACGCCACCGCCGCCAGTGTCAAAGGCACAAAGAGAGAACAACAGCGTGACAAACCAACAGCATCTCCTCTGTTCTCCTTCCTTGGGCACTGATGGGGCATCACAGCCCTGAGGACCAGGGACCTTGCCCGCTCTCTGGGTGCTGGTATATCCCTCTCCGTGCTCACACCGCATGACCTGCCCCAGCCGGCAGCACAGAGGAGCGCAGAGCAGCACGGAAGTCATTCCTGGATGCTTCTCCCCTCCACGGGACAGGCACCATCAAGCTGAGGAGGAAGACCCTGGTACCAGAACCCAACTGCAAGGCGACGCTCAGCAAAAAGCCGCAGAGCAAGCACGCAGCACCCTGCCCTCGGCATGATGCTGCAGAGGATGCAGGCACAAGCCCCACCGGCTGCAACCCCATCCCTGCAGGGCTCTGGGGCAACGCTCCCCCTTGGAACACAGGAAAAGCCACCAGCTGGGGGTAGCAGTTCCAGCACAAACATGTTCGGAGGGCAGCTCCACCTGGCAGGCTGCTGCTTTTGCTGCCCCTGTGAGTCCCGGGACGTGTAGCAGCTGTATAACTCCAGCTCTGCCACCCTTAGCCCTTTTCACCTCTTCAGCAGTCCCTTCTGCCCTCTTTTAAGTCCACCAACCTCTTCCCAGCACCTCCAGCTCTCTTTGCCTTGCTCCCTGCCTGTTTGCTCACCAGCATTTGACAAACAGGGAGAAACCCCAGAGCTATACTGGTTTCAGGTGCCGGCAGCATATCTGGGCTTTGTAGTCAGCCACACACCACTGCCAGGAGCCGTCCCAGAAGCAGAACAGAAGGATGCAGAGAAATCCAAACAGAAGGATGCAGAGAAATCAAAAAAAAATCAGGGTCTAGTAGCCATAATCCATAGTTCCATAGTCCTCCCGCCCCAGCCAAGGGAAGGCAAAGAGGTGACAAGGATGACAGCCACTTACGCCAAGGCAAAAGCCACCAGCGCTCCCACCACGACGATGAAATCCAGGATGTTCCAAAGGTCTCGGAAATAGGAGCCGTCCTGCAGGATCAAGCCCTGATCAATCATCTGTGGGGGAGAAGTGGAGAGAAAAACAGGCAGGAAATGAGCAGCTGGGTCACTGAGCGGGAACAGCCAGAGGTGGGATGTACTGGGGACAGGGACATGGCTGGGAAGCAGCAGATCTGTCCCTGTGCCCCACATATATGTCAAGGAACATCGTATTTTGGGAGCCTTGAGTCTGATAATCTCAGCTAAGAACCAGGCTTTAAAGTCTTAATGATGGACCAAAGTCTCCAGATTTTGGACCAGAACCAAAAAACTGAGCTCTTTCCCACCCACTGCAATGACGCTGCGGGACACAGCATCCCCAGCCAGCCCGCGAGGCCTCTTACCTTGATAACCATCTCGAAGGTGAAGACGCCGGTGAAGACGTAGTCAAAATACCTCAGGACCTGCAGAGAGAGGGCACGGGTGCTCTGCAGCTGCTGCCATGTAGAAGGGCTCACTGGTGCCCATCCAGATCCTGCACCAGGGCTCGCCTGGCTCAGGTGCAGAGCGTCAGGTTTGCTTACCCCAGCCTGTTCTCTAAGAGCTCAGGGCACCCCTAAACCCAGCCTGCACAGGCAGGAGAGAAACGGTTCCCACGCACGGTACGAGCAGCTCTGAAATGATGCTGCGAGCTGGCATCATGCTGCCCCACAGCAGTCCCCGTGCACATCAGCATCTCCTCAGTTTAAGCTATTTTACTGTTGGCAAGGTTCCCTGGTCTGCTCCTCGGGCTCTACACCCCACGTGTGGGGGGCTGAGAGCGATTTCCAGGGTTTACAATGGAAGGTGATGGGGAAGGTGATGGACCCACACGGCGCAGTCTGGGTGCTGCCACTAGCTGCCCTACTCCACGTCCCCCCACCATGGAAGCTAAAATCCTACAGGACCTCTGCCTTGCATGGCCCGCGGGATACGTGGGGTAAGCGGGGGAGGTTTGCAATCACTTTGTTGCGGTCGGAATTGGTGAGGACGGGATCCTCTGCCGCGAGGGCGATGCTGCTGGCGGCGATCACCAGGAGGATGCACATCTCGAAGTAGCGCAGGTTCACGATGTAGTGGCAAGCCCTCCGCACCCTGCGGGGAGACAGCCCCCACCCCGACCTGTGAGCCCCTGGCGTATGCCCCAAGTCCAAAACCCATCCCCCATCATCGGCTCCCAGAGTAGAAAGCTGGGCAGCAAAGTCTGAGGAGCAAAACAAGGGACCCCAAGGGTGGTTTGGGATTGTTGATCCCCCCGCTTGGCTGTCC